GCCCGCGCAGAGCCATCCCTACAGGTGTCCGCGCGGAGCGGCCGCGCGGGGGGATCCCAGCTCTGAGCGTCCCCGCCCGCGGCGCCCTCCGTGTGCCCGCGCACCGCAACGACGGCCGGGGCGCGGGAAGGAAAAGAAAGGAAAAGGGAGGAAAACAGGGGGGAAGGAGAGGCAGAAAGGGAGAGGGGAGAGGTGGGTGGAGGGAAGACGAGCAGAAAGAAGAGAGAAAAAAAAAAAAGACCAAGGAAAAGGACAGAAATGCGGAAGAAGGAAAAAGAAAGAGAGAGAGAGGGAAAAAAAAAAAAAGGCTTGCCCATTTATTACAGCCGCTATAATTCACACACTGTCAGTAAACAGCACGGTCTTGTCTAGTCATTTCCAAACCGCACAGACAGCTTCGTTTCTTCAAAGGGGACTATTTATTAACATGTATATATATGTGTGTGTGTATACATATATGTATGTATATATATGATATGGGCTCTTAAACAACAGACACCCCTCCCAGCTATGTATATACGTGTATGCATATATGTATGCATGCAGCAAGAAATATGCAGGAACCGAAGCACGCGCGGCCAGGGCACTCCATGCCTCATCAGCGAATTAAAATGCTGCCCCCTCTACACCCCCACAACCATTTTATCCTTTAGGAATTATGTCACAGGTGCCCCAGTTGAGCCTCTGCAAACTGCAGAAAGGGGGAGAGAGACACCCATAGGTCAATAAATCCTTCCTGAGCGCCAGCTCAGCTCGCTCCGTATTGCGCGAATCCCGGCGCCTTCATTGTCCCCGGGAGCGGGGAAGACCGGGCGAGTTTGCCCATCGCAGGGTGCAACAAAAGCACCTGGAAAATAGCCTTGGCGCGGCCAAAAGGAGAAGCGCTCCCATGCAGGAGCGCACTTAGCAGCATCGTTAATATTCCCCTTTTCGGCCCCACGTAATTTCTAGAGCGGAATTCTCCCCTGAGCGGCTGCAGCGATCGCTTCTGCAGCCCCCGCCGCCCTGCAGATGGAATTATTTCCATGCGCCCACGATGCAACCCTCGCTCCGC